GAGAGAGAGAGAGAGAGAGAGAGAGAGAGAGAGAGAGAGAGAGAGAGCGAGCGAGCGCACTGGATGACTTCTATCATTTCTGAAACATCTTTGACAAAGAGCTTTCTTTTACAATGATAAATTATTACCATGCCAATAAGAATAAATATGGTTGCTTATGTGCAAGAAAATAAGACGGCACTCTGAACAGCTGTTACCGGAAGGCTAACAGCTGTTAAATATGTTTCCTTTAATCGTAAGTCTCTGAGCTTCAGATTTCCATCAGAATTCCTGATCACCCATTTAATTACCATGTGTTTGTATTTCACAGACTGAGTCATTGAATTGCAAATCCTCGATTCAGAGACAGATTGGAAAAATCTGTCCAATCCTGACTCTTGCAGCATTTCCACCAATATGCAGTTATGCAGCCATAAATAGTAATCATTAATAACTGAGCTATGCATGTCTCTTTGTGAGATACATACTCTGCACGTGTTCATTTTAAATAGATTTTATTAATCAGGAGCATCCTAATGAACAGGATTGTCGCCCACGTTTCTCACAGAGACTGAACTTCACCTTCTAAAAGGCTCCAGTATTCTTTGAAGATTTGCTCTGCTTTGACCTCGCAGTGATAGTTATCATTGTTACGCTCATTAGAATCAGGTCAATTAATATTGCCAATAGTGAAGCTCTTCAAAGACTCTTGAGGAGGGCACTGTGGGTAATGCATGCTCAATGCAGTCAAGCGCCAGAGACTCACAACCCAGTGACTCACCAGGCAATCTGGAGAACATGCCCTGTGGCTTAGCTGTGATAACGCTGGCACAGAGAGAGGCCAGACCTCAGCCGATCTGGTGGGGAGAACAGCCTTCGCTGTCTTTGCAGTGTTTCATCTCTCCTTCCGAGATAGACTTCGTCCCCTGGAGGAGACATCTGAGGCACAACACAACGGAAAGTAGTTTAAAGAATGCTCCCGTGACTGTGGAGAGGCAAAAGCACAGTCGATTTAAAGGCAGAGGGAGAAATCAAACAGCCTCAAGGGGTTAAGTGTGATTTAATCTAGTTGGAGAGTGGCTGAGGCCTGTGCACATCCACACTGGTGATGCATTGTAGGCGTATCGATAACCTCCGCCGCATGGAGGGAGAATGTGAGAATTTTACGGATTTGTAGCAGCAAAAAAGGAGGGATTTTACTCTGTTTCTAACAAATGTTTTTTTTATTCTTGTGTTGTTTTTATTAAGCGGCACTAGTGATGATGTGATAGACAATAGTTGTGCTTAAAATATAGAAAACGTGCAACTAAGGATCCATTAGAGACATATTTCAGTCTTACATTTTTTTTCTTACATCAAATAATGCCCAAAATCAAACACCATTAGGATGTAGTGTAGGTTAATACAACCAGGCAGAGTGTTGGAGAGTTTCTCTAATTTCCTGGGAGGGAGATGGTGCTGACTATAATCAGGGGCTCACAGAGGCTGACAGTGCAGGTGCCTAATAACTATTCAGTGACACATTCACGTCCCCATTTTTAGAAACCGAGGCCTCCTTCCTGACCCAGAATTGGTGGTGCTGCAAATCCAGGCACTGACATTTTAATTCCAGACTGGCTAACTTGCCTCCCCCTAAATTACTGTAATTGATTAAATTAGTTTGGACACAGGCCACGAGGTACCCCCTGCACTGGTGACATACAGTCAACATCTTCTCTTTCCTTCTCTCTCCTATTTTTAGATACATTGTTCTTTGTCTCTCGCTCTGTTGATTTATCTATCTGGTTTTGCTTGAAAAAACATCTCAATGCCGAGAACAAACGGTGGAAGTATCGTTGTATTCAACAGCTGCACAAAGCAGTTAGATCAGTGAATTATAACAGCCAGTATAACATCAGGCCATTACGTATAATTCCCAGGCTGCTGTGGGTAACAGATGTTCATGCACACAGTTGGGAGTGAAATTGTTATCCCTTGATGCCTAATGTATCAAGTTCAGTGATCATGTTTAATGAAACATAACTGACATATTCGTACTGATAATGGCACAGACATGTTGGTTTTGTAATTCAATTTGTGGATAAAGGTTGTAGGTTTGGAAGCTTAATTAATTTTTTTGTAATTTGACATTTTGGGAAGCACGCTTAATTGCTTTCTTTCCAAGAGTGACATGAGAAGTTCAATACATCTCTCATGTTCATGCGCTAATCATGAAGCTATAGCCCAGAGTTAACTAGCTTAGCTAAGTATAACGAATGAAAGTAGGGACAGCCAGCAAGACCGGTTCTCTCCACAGTTCAAAAATCCGTGTACCAGCAGCGCTAAAGCTCAATAATTAACATGTTCCATCTCATTTGTTTAACTCGTACAAAAGATGAAATCAAAGTTGTGGATTTAAGGGGAGTTACATTATGCTGGTCTTGTCATTGCAGTGAGGTTGCCCGGCAGGCTAGCTGTTTGCCCCCTGCTTCCAGTCTTTATGCTAAGCTAAACTGCGCTAAGCTAATCGACACTGCTGCTCCGTAATTACATGGGAGTGGTATCAGTCTACACAGCAAAATCTCAGCAGAAAAGCAAATGAGCGTAGTTCCCTAGTGGCAACCTCTGATGTGGAAAAATGAGGCCAGTGTCAAAAACTGAGGTTTCTCAAATGGCAACTTGAGTCTGGCTCCTAAAGCGGGTCAGTCCCCATAGATCACCATGTTAACCAACTTTATAGCAGAAATGTTTACAAGCCGGTACAAAAAAATGGCTGACGTCGTCGCCATGTTGAGAGCAGTTGAGAGGCAATAAAAATACTTCCACTTTTAAGCTGTGTCGTCACTGCCAAGATGACAAGGGCTGGAGCCACCCGCTTCAAGCTTCACAATGATACTTGAAAAATCAATGGGTGACGTCACAAAGACTATTTCCCTATTTTATACATGTTAGACTAGTCTTTTCACTGTTGTCCATACAAAGCAGTCAATTGATCTAACTTGACTAACATTATAGAAACATTTAAAATGATCAACTGTTCCCTTTAACAAACCTTTTGTACTACTGGAACACTGCATTTTCAGAGCTTTAACAAAGTTTGACCATCATTACAGGGATTTTCTGATGTTGCCTGTAATTTGGGTGGACATAGTTTGACCATTAGAAAAACGAGGTTGGTTAACCACCATGAAAAACTGCAGTGATTTACAATATATTTCTTATCTTAACAATATCAGAGGTCTTGTGGTGGAATATTACGAGCAGGTTTATGCTTGCCTGCTTCAAATATAATACATATGACTTTGCCTTCATGTGGCCATCAAAATATCAATAATCTAAGTGCCTCCTGCTGCAATACTGCTGCACCGTGGTATTACTCATCCTTAGGTAAAAGGGATGTCAATGTTTATAGTGGCATAAGTCAGTATTGCTCCGGCTCTTCACACAGTCCCTCTGAGTTTAAGTAGGTTTTAAGTACATCAAAGTCATAAACGTCCTTTTAATACATTTTTAAAATACAAATGCCCTTCTGTATAAGACTAATCTGTTCATTCTCCGTTTCCCCTCTGAAGGTGACAGTGTGATGGTGGCAGGCTGAGCACAGGGATGTGAGTGGACCAGTAAAGATGACCCTGTTGGCGGGTGATGGCTCCGACTATGACTACAGTGCCCTGAGCTGTGCCTCTGATTCCTCCTTTGACCCACCTCCCCTACATGAAGAGGAGGCTCAAAAGGGGGCCTTCTACAAGAGGGCGCAGCGTGCCCCTGAGCTCAGCTCCATCCATGGCGACACCCTACTGTCCAGCGCCCGTAAACTCCACGCCATCATCAATGTGGGTGGCCTGCGTTACCAGCTGCCCTGGACCACCTTAGAGGACTTCCCCTTGTCTCGTCTGGGCCAGCTGCACCTCTGCAGCAGCTTTGACGAGATCATGTGTATTTGTGATGACTATGACATCGCGCACAACGAGTTCTTCTTCGACCGCAGCCCCTGTGCCTTCCGTACCATCCTGACCTTCCTGCGGGCGGGTAAGCTGCGGTCCCTCAGGGAGATGTGCGCCCTCTCTTTCAGGGAGGAGCTGCTCTACTGGGGGGTCCCTGAGGAGAGCATGGAGTGGTGCTGTCGCCGGCGTCTGCTGCAGCGCGTGGAGGAGTTTGAAGCGATGGAGAGAGCGGAGGAGGAGGAGGAACTCCTGGAGGATCTGCTGGATTCGGACAGTGGACGCAGGGAGCACGCAGCAGAGACCAGACTCAATCGGTACATGGGCAAGCTAAGAGACATGGTGGAGAGGCCTCACTCAGGCCTGCCGGGGAAGATCTTTGCTTGTCTGTCAGTGATGTTTGTCACCATCACTGCCGTCAACCTATCCATCAGCACCATGCCTGCCATGAGGGAAGAGGAGGAGGCGGTGAGTAGGCTAATGACTTTGACATAACACAAAAAGAGTTACTAAGTACAAAACATGTTGTTGTCATGTCAGAGAGGAGAAGTAAAAGTGAAGACATGGCCCAACACAACTTCATTGTCTGTTGTGAATCTGTCATGAAGACACACCAAAGTATAGCCAGTGAACATTTGAACCCCACACTGGTGAGATTGGCTTTGTCTGAGCTCTATTCAAACGCATAAGTGAGGAAAACTGACATGTTATTCTGAAAAGCATTCATTAGAACATTCTAATGATGGCATGTCTCATCTGTCATGTCGTTTAAAACAGCCTGCTGCTTAGAAAGCAGGTTGTTTTGCCATTTAAGAAAAATAATTATATTTGAAGACGTCTCAATCTGCTTTCATATTTTTGTCTGACTTCAATCACAACCATAATTAGCACACTGGCCTCTTCAGTCAAATTAAAGGACAATATTTGGGTCACACACAATATTTTCTTGCAGAGTAAAGGAAAAACAGTTTTTTAAATTAATTAATCAATCTCTCTTTTGTAGAAATATCTACTTTGGATGGAAGTGGAGAGCAACTTCCACCACTTTGCTTTCCATTTAAAAAAAAATGTTTTAGTAAATGTTCTACTTTTACTTCTTGTATACACTCAGGAAATCAAGTACAGATACTGCATGTGGGGTACTGTCCGTGGGCAGAGAGCGAAACCAAAACCTCAACAGCTTTTATTTGAGAGTAACTGCTAAACGTATGTCATGCTGCTGACTCAACTTTCAGATCCAGTAGGCCTACTTTAATCTTGGACTATCACTCTTTACATTTCATTTATCATGTGACTTCTGGGAGCTCCAGTGCATTAAGCGATTTAAACGTGGGACGAGTTTTAACATCATCTCTTGTACAGTCATTAAGTCAATCATCAGTCAATGTTCTGGGAAAACGTAACCGGGATAATGAAATGCACTGATGAAGTTCCAGTGTTCTATTCGACGTGACACAGTTGTATTTGCACCTGCTATGCTCGGTGTATGTTTCAATCACCCTTTTTAATTGAAAGTGCCAGTAATTGCATTCTAACAACTCCGACGCCTCTAATTAAAAGTGTCTAAGTGTTCCTCTCTCGGAGTGAGAGACAGGTTTACTGGAGTTGTCAGGTGCTTGTATGGGTCTACTCAAACCATCGCCTCCTCTGTGGGAGTGTGTTTCATAATGATATTTCGCCCTGATATGGACTGCGTTCAAAGGCTCCGTGCCATGTGCTTTGAAATGCTTTGAGCCTTCTCAGCCACGCACTGATTCAGCATCATCACTGTGTCACACAAAACACAACGCTTTCCAAAAAAAGCTTAAAACATGCATTATAAAGAAGGACCATTTTTGAGGTTACAGTTGCTCTGTTTTTATGGCTCGACTCATACATTAAATCATAACTGACATTCCTAAAATCGTCTGTCCAAATAATTGCAGAAGACACATTTTGAGAGTGAGCTTCGTCTATGATGAGCAAATATCTTTCCTTTCTTTGTTTTGTTTGTTGTAGAAACATTTTGCACGTTGTGTGCAATGCTGCAGTCTACCAGAGTCCTTAGCTCCTTCATTTCACATAGAAGTGGTTCCCTCTAGTGACTACAGCTACCACTCGCACATGCTGATGACGACCATGCTAACTCAAGTGTCTTTACCAGGGCAAATGTTCCCAGATGTGCTACAACATCTTCATAGTGGAGACGGTGTGCGTGGCCTGGTTCTCCCTGGAGTTCACCCTGCGCTTCATTCAAGACCGCAGCAAGCTGGCCTTCCTCAGGCAGCCGCTGAACCTGATAGACGTGGTGGCCATCCTGCCGTACTACATCACCCTGGTGGTGGACAGCACCTCCAAAGAAAAGAAGGGCTCTGGCAACAGCTACTTGGACAAGGTGGGATTGGTGCTGCGCGTCCTGAGAGCCCTGCGGATCCTCTATGTGATGCGGCTGGCTCGCCATTCGCTGGGCCTGCAGACTCTGGGCCTGACCGCACGCCGCTGCACGCGGGAGTTTGGACTGCTCCTCCTCTTCCTGTGCGTGGCCATAGCGCTGTATTCCCCCTTGCTGTACTTGATTGAGAATGAAATGGCCCCCACGCAGGAGTTCACCAGCATCCCTGCTACCTACTGGTGGGCCGTCATCACGATGACGACCGTGGGCTACGGGGACATGGTGCCGAGGAGCATCCCAGGCCAGGTGGTGGCTCTGAGCAGCATCCTGAGCGGGATCCTCCTCATGGCCTTCCCCGTCACCTCCATCTTCCACACCTTCTCGCGGTCCTACGTGGAGCTGAAGCAGGAGCAGCAGAGGGTGCTGCAGAGGAGGACACACTTTCTGCTGCGGAGCCGCATGGCCGGCCTGGGCAGCAACCTCTCCTTGGAGAGTGACATGCTCTTCCCCATAGCGTCGTCGAACACCAGAGACATGAACGAGTGACACTGTCGGACAGGGAAGGGCGTAAAAAGTGGGAGTGGGAGAGAAAGAGAAGAAGAGGGAGGCTTCAAAGAAAGACTGGGGGTATGGAGAGGAGAGAGAGACTGAACATAAAGTACAGGAGTGAGGAAGAAGAATTGTAGATAGAAGGGCGGAGAGAGAAGTCTTAAAAACAAGATACAGAGAAAACTGATTCCCAGAAATGCAGCCGTGCTGTGTAGCAGTGTACTTTTGGATAAACATGACGAACACACAAAGAAGAGGATTAGAAGAATATTATGAAAAATATATATATATATTATTTAAGTATTAAATAAATGTTTCCTTCAAAAGATTTATGATTGATTCATGATTTAAAAGATGAATGAAACATTACATGGTCACAGAATATCAAATGGAAGTCTAATTTACAGAAAAAACCCATAATAAAGCATTCGAGCATAACAATGATGTAATTCCAATATGTGAAATGTGCATTTGACAAAAAAATATAGCTAAAGAGCATGGTGTCCTTATGATCCAACAACATAGTGATGTTTCTCACCGGTGATCGTTGACGTTTTAATGGATTTGTTGATGTCGTGCTAACCAGTGTCACGTCATTAAAGATGTTAGATTAAAGAAGAGGTTAAATGATAAAACGTAACCCTTAGTCCACTGATTATTTTCTGAATGACTGTGCAAATTCTGAGAATCCCCCCCCCCCCCCCCTTTCTGGCACTGCCGGCATCCACATATTAATTATGATGTATTAATTGTCTGTCTTCTGCTCTTTGAGGTTCCATATGCAATTTTTGAATACTTTTGGACATTGGAGATAACATTGTTGTGCTTGTAATTACTGCAGTTGCTGTCCATAGCCGTTTATAAGTATTTCTCTCCTTAAAGTGGATTTAAAAAGAAGTCTGTTTCATTGTCGCTTCTCTTTTCAACATTAAACTTTATAGTCCCAGAGGGTAATTGTTTGGGGGACAAAATTGAACACAATAAAAAAAAAAGTCCACACTTGGCAGACATCCAATACCATTGACAGCATGCATGGTGTCATAACACACATGCAGAAGGAAAACAATACAGCAATCAGTGGTGCAAAGTCACAATTTTTACTTTTTGGATTAAGATTCCACACATTCTATGACAGAGTTAATAGATTGATTTGCTTATTTGAGTGTCATGTAGATGTAAAAGACACAAATCATATCATAAAATAGAGGTACATGAATTCAAAAACACTACATTTACATAAGACGAGTGTCCTGTTATGAGGAATACTGTGTACTCTTCCTCACATTTTCTGTAAATTTCACAAAAACAAAAATATCAGTACAAAGTCTAACAATCTGGATTCTTTACTAAATTTCCTCAAAAACAAAAAAGATTCCTAAAATGAGATAGATTTAAATAGGGCAGTGGAGGGAACAGAAATTAAAATGCATCCTGTACAACACAGAGGTTTTCAAAGTGGGAGGAGGGCCTCTCCAGGTGGGCCCGGAACAGGTGTCAGGAGAGGCTCATTGAATGAAAGTGAGAGCATATTACATTAGTTATCAAAAGAAGGTCACATTGAATAGCCTAAATGTAACTGACTTTGTTTAAGAGATAGTTCAGAGATCTAATCATTTTAAGGATGTTTACTGTTTTTCCCACTTTCCCAGAAAACAACAACCCAATATTGCAGCAAAAAAAAAGAGGCCAAAAGTGAGTGTAAGCCCTTATTCCTGCAGCTCGTGCTGGTACGTTAGAGACATGCTACCTCCTTTGACCAGCAGGTGGCGGCATTGTGTCACAAGAGTACAAAGTGTGATTTTTACCCACAAAAATGACGCACAAAACAGGTTCTGTATTTTTGCTCTCGTTCATTTTATTTTAAATAGCCTACATGTTACAGGACATGCAGTCACGTTTGAAGTCAGCAGTTTTGAATAAAAAATAAATAAAAAATAGACTTTCAAATGAAAACGGATGCAAGCTGACTTAAAGGTTCGGCACAAACACAATCGCGGTCTACAATATTAATAACCGAGCAGCCACGTTTGAAACGGCACCCTCGGGTGAACAGGGACTTCCATGAAACGCCGTTCACCTAAATCAGGGCTCGAGTGTGCGCAAAACGATCCCACCAATCAGGGCTCGACAATACGCTGGCGTCTCCGCCCCTGCCTGCCTCTAAGATCACCTCCCAGTGTGTTTTGGTCATGATTCGGTGTTCCTGCACAGAAGCCGACTGTCGGGAGAAGCTAGATTTACATATGCTTTTGGGCGTTCTGGTCTTTGTACTTTAATGCAATTAATTTATATGTGAATGGAAGATGTTTTCGTATCCTCGGAGTCATTCCCCGTCATGACCTCACCACCGGACCGCCCCTCCAGTTGAATGGGATTCCTCAGCGCCTCTCTGTCGCTCCTTTTGGCACTGACTGTCTCTTCTTCCACCGCCGCCGCTCCAAGCCGCCGCTTTTAGGATCCGCGAGCCGTTGCTTCCTCTTATCAGTTCATGAATGGTTTGATGCCAGATCCGCCTGTCTGATCGTCACAACAGCGACGACGCCAAAGACCCCGGTAGCCTGCGCGTCAGGGTAAGTAGCCCTAAAGTTGTTATTTTGGTGAGGGGTGACTTCAAGTAATGACATGCAGGGCAGACGGGGTTAAACAAGAGTGAGAGGTTTGATCTCAACAATGCCGCAGAATTATCCTACTATGTTGTTTGGGAATAAACCCTCCTCTTTAGATTCAGGCGTTACATCTTTATGACATAAATGTTCTGTGTGGTATTTGCAAATGTACTTTTGCTGAGCTATTAATGATCAGTAGATCAGACACTGTCATATCTCACTTTTGTGATTCATCAAAATCATTGTTTGCCAGCAACTGTACCAGTCTGAGAGTTACAGTGACTCATCAGAGCTTCTTTTTTTTTTTTTTTTAAAGATACAAGCTTAGGCCACATACTGTACTATACAGTCCCTGTTCTGCAGCATTTTTGGGAACATACAGAGCATAATCACACAGCACTCTACTGTGCATGTCCTCAATGTTAAGAGGAATGGCTCCCTGGGTGGAAGCCCTTACAAGACAATCTGAAACCTGGCAGCTATAGGCGCTCTGCAGGGAGAGTTTTTTATGGGCTACCTGCTGTACTTTATGTGTGAGTGAGACGATCAGAGCGGATCAGAGGGACTGTGTATATGTTTTAAACAGGACTTGCTCTAAATAGTTTGCTTTTTCACTCAGGATGCCACAGATTTTCCTTCCTTAGGATCCCACGCACATTAAAGACATGGCTCTCAAATGCTTAGGATTAGTCTCTCCCACTCAACATGACTCAAAGGCCCAAATATTGACTCTAATGTAGTGGCGACTAATAATAGAGAAGACTAAGTAATTGTATAGTCTGTAATTGATGTTCCTGAGCATATAGATGCAGTCCATATCCTGCCAAATTGATTGTGTCTTTACATTGTGACATTGGTCTTTACTGTTTATAGGCTGCTGTACACGTCAGTCCTGACTGCTGATCCAGGATCAGCGCACAGATCTGCTGTCTAGAAAATTAAACCTGGTTTCACGGTCTAGACCAGATTTACTCTCAGATGTTTGTGCGAGACGTCACTATGTGAGACATTTACTATCACGACAGTTGAGATACAACACGTCATTCAGCTTGCGTCTCGGCATACACACACACACACACACACACACACACACACACACACACACTCTTGAACCTGCTGTGCATGCTGTGCAGTGTGATTTCAGAGCCTAAAACCTAAATATTGTGTTTAAACCCGCAGTGGATTCCAGCTTGTACTGTCTCTGTAATCCTTTCTGATATCTGAAACATTACTCCAGAGAGACATCAATATTTTTTTTTATACAAAATAAAATTGCTCTTATATTTGATGATCAGGAGAGCATTACACTAATCCTCCACAGATTTTGCTGTCTTTTATTTCCCTGAAGGAATTAGGATGTTTGGCAACGTGCAGGCAAAAACCACATTATATCCCGTGGATTCAATATCCTTAAACTGTGTATCAAGCCAATGACGTGCAAACTGATGCTGACCGGGATGAAGCCGTGTGGCATGTTTTACCAGGCTAATGACACGCATTCTGCTCTGGGCAACGCAGCCGCCCAGTGAGTGAGAAGTGTTACGAGACGGCCCATTGTACTTTCTAACAGCCTGGTTTCGGGCTCCACAGAGGGGACCTAATGCTCCTTGGAATCCCATGAATGCTCCCCAGTGAAAGCTGTCGATGTTTATGTCAGCTCCAATGCGATTGGTGGAAAGTGGCTCTCGTGGCCGAAATTCCTGCTAATTGGCAACGTGGCTGTGGACTGGCCCCTTTGTTCCCCCTTGTACTGGAGTGGTCTGTCTGTCAGGGTGATACACTGGGCCTGGCATCAATGAACCGCTTGTTTTTCCGCAGCTATCTGGCCCTGGAGGAATCGGCGGCTTTAAGACAAGTCGCTTCCACTTTCAAAATTGCCTTTGTGCACCTATTCAGGAAGATGGAAGAGAACCATTTAGGGGTGGTCTATTGAGAGACTTTTTCCCAAGCATCCCAGCCATGCATATTGATGGTGATGTGTGTATTTGCCTCTGCCCTGAAATGAACTGAGCAGTTGCATTGACACAGACTCCTCTCTAGCGGGCGGTTTGCCGAGTTCATCATTTGATCTAGTGAGTGGCCCACTTTCCTTTAGGTCAGATGAGGATTAATTGGCATTGAGCTCTGAGGACATATTGTAATTGTTTGCGATACAGAGAGAGGATCTAGCTTATTGGCCGGAGATATACAAAAACAAAAAACAAGAGCTCACAAACTGCAGGACACAGGATGACTGTAAATGAGTTTGGTGCTCTAGTAGTAGTAGTAGTGTGCCTCCACTTTGTTGAAACAACACATTATTCCCCTTTGGTTTCGGGGTAGTTAACAAACAAAACACTTGTCTAATGCCAACGACCCCTCTTTAGTTTGCCAATGAGATGTGCGACAAACTCCAAAGGGAGAGAAAGAGATACACGGAAGAAGGGCCATGAGATTTTGTGATTGCTTCCTGCTGACAAAAGCCTTTGAATTTTTCATGCGGCAGATACTAAACTTCTGTCGCTCTGGCCCAGATTTGGTGCTAATTAGTGCCCAGCCACTTTCAAGGGCATACTGGTTGATCATGGGAATGCCAGTGCCACCTGTTCTCTCACTCTTTCTCCCTGTCTCACATCTCTCCCATCCTGCCTTTATCCGTCTGTCTCTCTCTCTCTGTTTGAGCTTTATGTGTCAGTGGCCTACTTTTGTGTCAGTCATTGTTGCCTCCGTTACAGTGTGCGCTTTGTCGGCCACGAACCTAAAGTATCACTTCCATGCTTGTGTTTTATTACTTCCTGAATAAGTGACTGCAGGGGAGAAGTTGCTGTATACACAGCTCAAACATGTGGCCACAGAGCCGGTTCATTTCACCCAGTAAAGGCAGTTGAATGATAAGGATGCAGAACTGAAGCGCTCCTGACATATCCCTCTGAGTTCTCTGTCAGAGGGGCCTGTGCTTGCTGGGCCATTTGAATGAAGTATCTGATCGTAGTTTGATACAGGCAAACAGAGGAGGGCTTATATCCTCCCAGGATCCCATTGACACTTCCTGTCCCTCTGCTCTGGGAACGGGCCAGGGTGACACAGGCCACACAACTCCACTCAATCCACCCACTGTTGCCTCTGTGGAAAAAGCGATCACTCTCACACCCTCATTCCCATCGCTCCGCGCACGATTCTTGTGACAGGAAAAGCGTCTTTGGCATTTCGAAAGAAGCCTCTATGTGTGGCTTTGTGTAGGCGCAGCTGTGCGAGCCTGGTCAGGATGATGAGATGCTTAAGAAGAGCACACGCATGCTGCTCTCCCCCTTCCTAAAGATTCAACCGTGGGATATGTTGAGATGGGAGTTTTTATGCAGATCGTTTACTTGCAGAGACGATCGATCAGGTCGCACCCAACGTCTGAACAAAACCATATAACAGGAACATGTTTGTGGGAAATGTCCTGTTCAAAATATACATTAAAGGATGTGGGTACACATTATGATTTGACTGAGCATCGAGGAGCGGAATCGGTGACTTGATTAGAGCTGAAACGATTATTTGTTTAATTGATTTGATGATTGACCAAAACTATGTAATAACAAAACTTCTGCACTCATTGGTGTTTCAAAATATGTGGACTTTCCACCTACTTTACAGGTTCTCTTTAAGATGTTCAGGGCATTAATATAGTAAAGATATATAATACGTAAAGATATAGTGGAGTAATGTCTACCTGAGCAGAGAATTAAGTCACTCTCGCTCTGTGTGTGTTGTAATCAGATTTGCTTTGTTTACATAGCCGGGCCGGCCTTGCGTGCCTTTTTAATGCGTTGTTGTGTCCCACTGGTTAGCTCATGGCCAGCGCTCTGCAGTGCTCTCATGCGGCTGCTGCAGCTGGTAACCCCGTCTCCACCGATGGCATCGTTGCGGAAGCATAGCGCCCATCCTCCGGTTCCCCCCTCAGATGAACACTGTTGGCTCTGTCAGCACAGCTGCAGTTGTCTGCGCTTATAGCGCTGTTGGCACCTTTAGCTGCTAGCTCAGCTGTTGCCATCTTGAAAGCAGTTGAGAGGCAATAGATATGCTTTGAATTTAGCACGGAGCTGCTTTGAATTTTTAGCTGTTGGACTACAAGCACACACACCACATTTCCATTCTTGACACAAAAATTCAAACAAAAAGCTGTATATTTTGTTCCAGTATTTTTCATCGCCACCTCTTTGCTAAACCTTTTTGTATCGCAATTCAGACCTATTCAATTTTGACCGGTACAGGATGTGTTTCCTCTCGGCTTTGACCTCGGCTCTTACCTCTGATGTGAGTCTGGATCAGATACAGAACAGGGCCATCTTCCTCTTTCTCAGCAGAGGCAGTTAATTGAACCCACCCCTCGGTGTCGTGTGGAAAAGCTCCAACCGCACCACCAAAGCTCTGCTTTTGATTGCCTATCAGTCAGCGTCTAGTTCCCGGCTTCACCGCCCCACTGAGTTCAATTTGAATATTGAAATCAGCGCCTTCTGAACAAAGGGGTGTATTAAAAGAGATGGAGGAAATCACTCCAGTGTTGGGGGATCTTGCCCTCCAATCTGTTATGGAAATGTCATGGCTGGGTGCAGTTATGTTTTGATGATGAAGCGTGACATGGGCACATTTTAAAATTTGATTCCCAAACCCTGGTGGGTGTTTCAGATTTATTTTTCTGCCGCTCTTATTGGTTTGTCTCTAAGGAAGCAGGGCTAAGATCTTTGCGTCTTGTTTTCAGTTTGAATTCAGCCATAGCAGCTATAGAAATGTTGATACAGGATGCTATTTATAATAATTCTGCATCTGCACAGAAAGTCTGCTGTTCCCTCACTCCTAACATGTTTTGTAGGGTTCTTTTTTCACCCATGCTGTCAGTGAAGCCTTATATTTTTGGAGCAATAATAATAATAGAGATGTTCTTGGAGACACAGAAATGCTAGACTCACCTGATGATCAGCCAGTATGACACCCTCTGC